TGAGTTTGACAAGCACCCAACTCACTTTCGACAAGAACCTATTTCTCTGACACAAGCGGTAATCCTGGGTGTCGGGATAGCTGCCGGTGTTGGGACAGTACCGCTGCCCTAATACAGGCCCCTCAGTACTTTAATGAATTAAAACTAATTACCTTCATTAGGGAAAGAATAAGTGCTGTTCAGATTTTGATGTTATGCCACCAATATTGCGCTTTACAAGGTCAAGAAGATCCTGAAATCTAGTTCTATGATTAGAACTAGGTACTAGAAGAAGTGGGGAGATGAAAGACCTGGATAAATCCATCTAGCTGGAAGAAAAGAGCCAAAAATCTAGGTTAGCCAGTTCAGTGACTCTGTTTTAGGAACTAGCTGAAGATAAAGTTAGATTATAATCTTGAGAAACAGGGAGTTACCCCCTTGTGATTATCACTGGTATTTTCGGAATTTTTCAATGATCACTGGTATTTTCAGAATTTTCCAATGATGCCCTCCCTACCCCCTTTGGATTACTGGGTTGTGGTTTCTTCCCTTAAATACCCCTTCTCCCAGCTACTCAGGGTCGAACTGTCTACCCCTGTGTGGGAAATGAGTTTTGACCCCAGTGCACTGGTTCCTGTCCTGTCAATAAACCTTGTGTGATTGCAGCAAGGATGGTCTCTTGTGAGTTCCTGGGGCGTCGTGTTATCCCGAGACTTGAATGTGAGTCTCCCAACTCCAGAAATCTTTCACCAGTTCTCATGACTTAGCTAAATAAATGGTATGATTGTTGTTTGGCTAAGGAGACTGCATGAGAAAGCTCTAGTTCTCACAACTTAGCTAAATAGACAGTGTGATTGCAGTTTCTGGTTGAGCAGACACAGCCCCACTTCCTCCTTTAGTTTTAGTACTTAAAAATGAAATCATTTGTATAGCGGTCTTTGGATTCATTGACTTGTTCCCCTTTGTCCTCAAAGTATTGATGGTCTGAGACAGTTTGGGAAGGGAAATAAGATGAATAAACTTATTGAAAAACGTAATATAAAGCCTACACATTTGAAATTATCAATATTGATGAAATGGCTGAACAGGATTCTCTAATTTCCAGAGACTGGGAAAGCAGACATGTCTCACTGTCAAGAAAAGTCTAAGTTTTTAAAACATTTTAAATGCCATATTTTATAGTTCTTTGAATTTTTGAAGATTATCTATCTAACTGAAATATATCTCTATATATTTAGAAAACTTATCTAACATAATTAAAAGTTTGGTTATTAAAGATGACCATCTATTAATCTATATTTCTTAATTATACATTATAGTTTTAAATGAGTTCCACAAACACAATAACTTAAACAAGAGCAAAAAACCACATACATAGTATAGCAAAATTGACCTTAAAACTGTATCAATATAGCAAGATCCATACCAATGCCAAGTATTCGTCTCTATATCATATTATCCTTTAAATGAAAACAAACATTTATAGATAATCATTATGGGAATTTGGGTGTAGTTTTCTCCATGCTGCTTCCTGTTATTTGTTGTTAAGGTTCACAGAGACCTCCGGGGCAGGGCAGGGGGGAGTCTTGTTCCATCAAATCACATTAGCCTGGAAGGAATCCACAAGTTCCAATTCTCTGCAGAAACAAAACCAGAACATCTTTTCCAAAGTAACATATCCTTGGGCTCAAAGTTTAAGTAAAGATATCTTTAAAATATGTATGTTGGCTTAGCATAGCAGCACCCGGAATCAAATACCTATCTGCTGTCAAAAACTTCAAAGAAAACACAATAATATACATAATTCAGACTCTGTATATTTCATCTTTATATCTCCTCCAGCCTGGCTACATTCTGCCCTGCCACAGGTCAAAACAGCTTTATTCATTAACCGATAAATAAGAGCAACACTTGTACAGAATGATATCCAATATCAATTAAAATAGATTATGGTATAACTTGATAAGAATTTTTGCTTTGCTTATTACAAATTAAGAATTAACCTTTAAGATTTTAAATTGTCTGGCCATGAGAAAATATTAAACGCCCCTCCTCCTCTGCTTAGTTAAACTTTGTTTACTTGCTCCTAGATCTGTGATCATTGAGTTTTATGATTATGACTTTTCTAGGATGTTTTTATTCATGTTGGAAAAAGTCACGTATTAGATATTTTTGAAATGCAAATATAGATTGGTGTAATCATTGTTGTAAGATATGAAAATAAACTCTGTTGTCTTGGAAAGAGATATACATATATTCTCTCTTGTAGATTGCCTCCCAAGCACAGTGAAAACAAGATATTCCTAGAGACTTAGAAAAAGATTTAAATTGCTGTCTGGTGCAACTTCTTTATATTACCTGCGACATCCACCCTTTTCCAGTCTTGATCTCTGCTGGAGCTGATCCCTGGCAATACATGCAGGCAAAATACACATGAAATACTTAAGAGAATTATCAGCCTTAAACAGCTGCAGATTGTAAGGGTCTGGTGAAAGTAGCCACGTAGGAGAGAACTGACTGGTGTAGCAATGTAAGTTATCTGACAGGTCTGGGGTGACCCTGGTTCCTTTGTTTATAATCTGTCATATTCTCTTCTCTCATATACCTCAGAGGTAGGAGTGACTGAGATTTCCTATCATAGTTGTGAGACCAAGAAGTGAGTAGTACCTAAGAATGATAATGGTATGTTCTAAATAGGACTTACTAGCATTATAAGTGTTTTTGGAAACTGCTTAGTGAAGAAACAGGAGTTAAGAACATGGCCTCTGGAGCTAGACTGCTTTGAATGAATCTGAGCTCCAACAAGGAACTATGTGAAAGACCCCTACTTAGCAGCATTAAGTTAGCAGCAGCAATAACGCTATTTTACAAGGTTTGAATTTTTTGAGCAATATAACTGAAAGCTAGGACAGGGAGTTCAATTTAGAGATAAGGGCGTAGGTCAACTTAGGGGCAGGGGCGTTGAGCCAGACAAGATATCTATGGTCGACCATCTGGACTGCCAGCAGGGAACTTGGGGTCCAGAAGAAGAGTTGTACCCTAGATAGGCCAAGTCAGCATACATATCTGATTTCTTGGAAACCACAGAACTGTACTCAGTTTGAACCTGAGCCTTATTTGAATTGCCCAATCAGAACCCCGTAACTATGCGTCTCGCTTCTGTACCTGCGCTTCTGCTTCCCTACCCTATAAAAATCCACTGCCCCAACCTGAAGGTGCGCTAAGTCCTCCGAGCGACTAAGACGCCCCAGGTACTTGTGTATCTGAAATAAACCTCTTGCTGATTGCATCCGCACACGTGGCCTCACTGTTCCTTGGGAGGGTCTCCCCAGACTGAAAGGCAGCCCACCCTGGGGGTCTTTCACTATGAACCTAAGATTTCTTAGTTTCTCTGAGCTTCCATTTCTAAAAACTAAAACTATAGAACTGCAATATCACTTCTCAGTATGTACTTGAAAATGCAGGGCACGAGAGATGGTTCAGTGGTTTGAATCCCTAGCTGCTCTTCAGAAGACCTGCGTTTGATTCTTTTTTTTTTATTTTTTATTTTTTAAATTTATTTATTTATTAAGGATTTCTGCCTCGTCCCCACAACCGCTTCCCATTTCCCTCCCCCGATCAAGTCCCCCCCCCCTCATCTGCTCGAAGAGCAATCAGGGTTCCCTGACCTGTGGGAAGCCCAAGGACTGCCCACCTCTATCCAGGTCTCGTAAGGTGAGCATTCAAACTGCCTAGGCTCCCACAAAGCCAGTACGTGCAGTAGGATCAAAAACCCACTGCAATTGTTCTTAACACCCACGTGGAAGCTCATCAACATCTGTGACTCTTGTCCCAGGGCACTTGACATCTTCTACTGGTCTCCAAGGACGTCAGGTATACACGTGGTACAGAAACATACATGCAGGCAAAACACCCATAAAGTTAGTAGCACCAGCTTTAACGTTCCTGGGACTAAATGAATTAACAACCCATTATGAGCTTGGCACAAACCTGAGCATCTGATAAGTGCTATGAAAGTTTTTTGCCTCAGTAGTGACATGTTATAGATGTTATCTCCTGACCCCTGTGTATAATATCACCAGTCACAGAGTTTTAGGTGTTACTAACAGCCCTATTCCTTAGGAGGGATGAGTGTGTAAGTGCAAAAAATACAGTTCTTAGCTCAGAGAGATAGTCTGTTCTTGAGCCAATTATGAGTGATAATGGCCCAGCCACATGGACTCAAATAGTCTAAAAAGACATGCTTCACTGTTGAAAATCACATGAGTTTTTTTTTTTTAACTACTACTTACAGAACAAAGAAAGTCACAAAATCAAGGCATTTACCAAATGGCACAGACTACAGGTAGGTGAATTTCAGCAAAGTGGGTCAAACTTACAGGTTTCAGATGCTGATGAGATTTAAAGGAAGCTAGTAGTCAGCTAACAATACATTTTATATTTTATCATTATTATTTATGGTCATTTTGCCTGCACATATGTCTGTGCACCATTTGTGTCATTTCTCTGCAGGGGCTAGAGAAGTCAACTGAGCTCCTGGAACTGGAGTTCCAGACTGTAGTGAACCACTGTGCGGGTGCTGGGAACTAAGCCTGGGTGTTCTGGAGAGTGCTCTTAACCAGAGTCATCTGCACCACTATGAATACATTTTAAAGGTTTTCGTTAAGCATGAGGGCATTATGTTTGATACTTGTTGGCAATAAATGGCTTCCAAAGAACGTAAAAAGCCCAAGGTAATTTAGCTCTCCTCTGCAATTTTAACTCTTCATAATCACGAAATTAAATTATTTAGTATTGTAGAATCTTTAAAACCGTGCAACATCCTTTTTTCCCTTAAGAAGTCGGGTTTACAGGAGTGTGTGTGTGTCGCGATGGTGCGTTAGGACACTAAGGGGTGAGTATATTGTGGGTCGCAGGCCACCTGGCACACCTCTGAAAGACAGCAGACTTTGCTTACTGCGGCTGGGGAGACGCGGACAACCGACCCGCATGGAAAGTGGCAGAGACCGCGGGTTCCGTACCTGTCCGAGCGGAAGGGACCGAGTTCGGCGGGCTCAAGGCTGCGCGTGTCCGTGACAGGAGGTTGGCCTTCGCCCCCTTGGGGCAGCGAGCGCCGCAGGTCGAGCGCCTTCCGCGGGCGTCGCCACACACTTCCTGTAGGTCCCAGCGCCCGCCGAGCGCTTCCGGTGCCGGCTGAAGTCGGGGTCCGAGCCCCCGCCCCGCCCCCCCCCCCCGTCCCTCCCCGCGCGGCCGCGGCCCCGCCCCCGCGCTCCAAGCCGGGCGCGCGGAGCCCGGGGCGCACGGAGCGGTGCGAGCCGGTGGCCGAGCCAGGCTGGCGCCCGCGCCCCCCGCCGCACCACCGCCGTCACCCGCCGCGCAGCCCACGGGGTGCCCTTCCAGCCGCACCGGCTCCGGCACCCGGGCCTCCGGTCGTGGTGTCGTCGTCCTCCGCTCCGCCGTCCCGCTCCGTCCCGCCCGGGCCGCCCGGCTCCCGCAGGCCCCATCGCCCGCGTTCCTATGGACAGACGCACAGACACCTGCCGGTGGGTGAGAGCCCGCGCGGGGCTGGGGAGCAAGCGTGCGCGGGGCCTCTTTGTGTGTGTGCGGCCGCGCCGTGACCCGCAGAGCCCTTCTTTTGTCTGCTGGGGCCAGCGAGGTGGGAGGGCGCTAGGGGCGGAGGAGTTTGCAGGCGCAGAACCGGGGCGCGCCGGTTCGCGGCCCGCAGCGCCTCAGAGGGGACGGTCCCTGCACAGTGTCCTCCAGCCGGGCGGGAGGGCGGGAAGGAGGAGGGATGGTTTGCCCTGCTAGTTGCCGAGTCTGAGGCGCTTCGGGGCTCTGCCCGGCTAGCGTGGTTGTCGGGAGGCACCGGGAGGTGCTTGTGGGGTGTATGAAGGAACGAGTGGCCCTTCGCTCCCTTATTTATTGTTTCTAACGGAAGAGGGCTTTCTCCCAAAGGTTCCCCCCAATCTGAGGCTGCGCACAGTGTTGTGTGTTTGTTATCAAATAGATCAAGAAAGCTCGTCCTGGGAAAGGAGGTTGGGTTGACCAGATCAAAACAAACAAAAAAAATGTGGTTTTCTTATAGCTATCATTAATTTTAGTATGTAAAGGACAGATAGTGATTTAAATTGAGGAAATTGAACATGACTGATTTTTTTACACTTGTATTTATTTTCATTTTGAAGTTTTGGAGTAAAGTTTGTTTTTTCTCATATTCGTTAGGATTAGCACCGATAGAATAGTTTACTGGAGTGTCAGGTAGCTAGTGACTTTTGCAGTAGGCCTTGCATTGGAGAGTAAAACACAGTGATAATTCTTTCCACACAGCTAAAACCTTTGTTTTCCGTTTTAAGATTGGAGACTTTTCACAGCTGATGAAAACGTGATGTTAGGATGTTAGAAGTGATTTTCCCACTTTACATTCTACATGATGCGTTCATGTATTACATACATACAAACCCGGGATTAGGTTGTTGGATATGCTGGGTATAGTGTTTTGAAAGGTGTAAAGTCGTAGTTCTAATTTTTCTTGTTTGACTAGCTTGCTAACTTCGTGAAGAGTTGCTGTGTCTTCATAGTCAAATAATAAATGTAGTTTGGTAAACATTCATAAAATTTGTTTCCCAGACTGTTTTCTATGTAGATATGGGGTTATGTCCTTATGTTAATTTATTTCTCACTTTTAGAAAATTATTTATTGTCTAATGTGTTGTATTGACACGTAAGTCTGTTACCTAAGAGGTATTTTTGTTTGTTTTTGTTTGTTTTGTTTTTAATAGTTTTGAGGAGTACTAAACAATGCTAGGTAGAGCCATTTGGAGAAAGTGGGAGCCTCCTTAAAAAAATACTAAATTTGAAGAAAATATCATGGTGGAGAAACTACTTAAATTTCCATTAAGTTGTTAAAAATTCAAGAAAAAATACAATTCAATGCACTTTTATTCAAGTACTTTTTTTTAATCATAGAAAGAGTTTAATATGCTTAAAATAGTGATTTTTGTGGGAGAAAAATTTACCCTAGATTCTTGACCCAGTTACATTATATTGATGATGTTGCATACTGAATTTTTATACATTTGTACACACTTAATGTCTAGAAGCAGCTTTATCTACCAGAGTTGTTCAGGTTTTATTATGTCTTGCTGTTATTGTCTGTCTAGATCAGGTAAATGAATTTAACCTACACAAAGGCACAGAACTTAGTGTGTTGCTTCTAGTCCACTCTGACCGAAATCTCTCCTCTTTCCTTTAAGAACAGCTTAAGGAGTCTGTAATTAGGGCTGGTGTTATCTCCAACAGGGAGTTCTAGAACACCATCAGAGTTGCAGCTTTTTGTCATTGGCTGAAATGCTAAAAAAGACAGCTAACACACTGATTTGCTTGTGTGTGTGTTTGTTGGATTGTCAGCGGTGGTGATAAGACTTAACAGAGCATCTCTCTGTAAACGGGAAACAGCAACAGTGTTTCTGTGTTGGTAGTGCTTTGGCAAAGCAATAGTTGTGCCTGCCGGGTTTTCTTGGGTCAGCACCTCTAGTGTCTCTATCAGCGCTGGCTCTGAGGTAACGCCTTGCTTTTTCTTTTGCTTTTGATTGGTGTGTAGATGTTAGTAATTTTCTTTCTGTATAACTAATAATGGTGTAATCAGGAGCATTCCAGAGGGGCTTCTATATTTTTATCTTCTTTTCCTTTTGGTCAGTTGCTGTTTAAGAGAGCCAATAAATTCATTTTTGTCCTGATGCTTTTTTTTTAAGACCTTACAACAGATAAATGCTCCTTGCAGACAATTTGAATTTAAAATGAAGCTGATATTTAGCTGTATTTTGTTTTCCTAAGCAACACTAAACTGTCCTCAGTTAAATCTGGGAGACTTTAAAGTCTACAGGCTTTTCCAGTACTTCCCCCATGTTCAATACTATCATAATAAAGTAGAAAACTGGGAAGTAACAGATTTGCTCTTTACAAATCTTTTGTTCCTGCGACTTCGACCTCCACCTACCCCCCTGTAGTTCTTTGTGGCCTGGTAGGGAAGCAAGCCTGAAGGAGAGGTGTGACAGAAATCACCAGAGCGCAAGCCCATGCTGCTTACCAAAAGGAGAAATTCATTCTTGGATTAATATCCTGGTACCAGATTATGAGGCTGGCTCTGAAGAAGCTCTTCCTCTTAAATACTGTCAGAAATAGACAAGCTGAAGATTGGAGAGAAGCCATTTATTTTGAACAGTTTATTTTGTGACAGTTGTGTTTATAAAGAAACCTGCTCATAATATTTACTTGAGAGATCTACATAGTTACCCAAAGACACCCCACAGGTTTCTTTCTTTTCCTTTTTCTTTTCCCTTTAGGAAAGTTTCCACGGAGCTTAGCTCTTCTCTGACACTTCTTGAGTTTGCTTCTGATCAGCTGATTTATGTATGGACTTTGTTTACCACTATGATTGGAGAATTCTTTTTGCTAGTCTGAAATTGCACTCTGCTCTGGTCGGTTTCCCAGGAAACAAATGCACTGCCTAGATTCCATAATGAGGACCGTGGTTGGCTAGTGACTGTGTGAATTCTGTTATTTGTAAAGCTTAGTCTCAAATTCAAATAAAGGTCAAGATAGCAAAAGTACTGAAGATGCAAATTTGGGGATTTTATTTTGTATCCAGCGCCTACAGCATTTTAATAGGCTTATCTGGAGAAGGGCAAGTTCCCCAGCATTGTTCATTTGTTTTACAAAGTCTTACACTTGAAGCAGTTGGGGAGATCTTTCAGTATTTCATACTGGTGATGGTGGGAGCCTTAGTGACAAAGGAGATGTATTCAGAAATGTGTTATCACACTTGCAGACCTTGAAGAGAGTGAAGGCAAGTGTAGAGCTGCTGAGGGAAGTGTAGAAGGAAGTGTATACCTCAGGAGGAGACCCATAGACCCAAGGAACAGTCCGAGACCACTGGCTGCTACCGGCAAGAGGTTTCTTTATTGAGAGTACACAGGTACCTGAGGGCAGCAGAGTCTATTTGTCTATTTTAGGCAGGGGGTCTTTTATATGGAAATGGGCCGCAGAAGCAGGCAAACAGAAACAGGTGCATGGTTACAGGGATCCCGTTGGTCCTTTCAAATGCTGCAAGGGGTTCACTTGAGGACAAACCCCCTGGCTCTTGGCTGGGGACACAAACGTCTGTTAACAGCTGACTAAGCTCTATCTAGGGCATATGCGGTCTTCCCCAGAACTCTTCATTGCCCTCCTAGATATCTGACCGCAGATATCCTGTTTGGCAGCCTAGGAGTACTGACCTTACCCTGAACTTTACTTGTTTGTTTTAAAGCCTTGCAAAATGGCGTTACAGCAGCTAAGCTGGGGTCTTTCAGAAGGAAGTAACATGTGTATTTCAACACAATTATGCATCTTCTTGTGAAATTGAACTTTAAACATCCTAAAAGTATTTGAGAAACTTCTTCCTCCTCATTCTCCTCTTTCTCCTCCTCTTCCTTTTGCTTTTTGAGAAAGGGTTTCACTGTGTAGCCCTAGCTGTCCTAGAACTTGCTTTGTAGATCAGATTGACCTTGAACTCAGAGAACCTGCCTCTGCCTTCCAAATGCTGGAGTTAGAGTAATGCACCATCACACCCAGCTTAAAAACGTTTTAAAATTTTTAACATAAACTGCTGTATTTATAATCTAGTTGTTTCCCCCTTCTGATCTGCTTGAATTTTACCCCAGAATTGCAAGTTAGAGACCAACTTTCCTCTCTTAGTGACTCTCCTCTGGAACTCTGTGGCTTTTGTGACTCTACATCCAGGATGAAAAGCAGTTCACGGTGCAGCTGTTGGTAGGCAAAAGAGGGACAAGAAGAAACTTTTTTTTTCTTTTTTATTTTCGAGACAGGGTTTCTCTGTAGCTTTTGGTTCCTGTCCTGGAACTAGCTCTTGTAGACCAGGCTGGCCTCAAACTCACAGAGATCCACCTGCCTCTGCCTCCCGAGTGCTGGGATTAAAGGCGTGCACCACCACCGCAAGAAGAAACTTATAGAGAACCAGAACTTCACTAAAACCACTGCAAATGCCTTTTTATTTGATGCCGGTAAATTTTTGTTGTTGTTGTTTGTGAATCATCAAGGATTCTTTTGTTAGCTTAAACATTAGAGGAAAATACATGGCCAGGTGGTGGTGGCACAGCCTTTTAAATTCCAGCACTTGGGAGGCAGAGGCAGGTGGATCCCTATGAGTTTAAGGGCAGCCTGGTCTACAAAGGGAGTCAGTCCTAGGACAGTCAGGACTGTTACACAGAAAAATTGAAAATACTTGTATCTGTTTGTAATCTCAGAGAATGATCCTAAGTTGTCTCCATTCCTCTTCCTTGCTAACAATGTTGTTTTTTTGTTTTTTGTTTTTTTGATTATTCACTTGCATTTTGGTTAGCTTCATTTGAGGCATAAAACTTGTCTTGGCTAGGTTCTTCTGTTGATTTTTCTCAAAGTTGACATGACTTGAATCCTTCATTCCTTTTCTAATTGCAAAACTGTATCCCTTCAGTTTTTCTTATAAACATTTTTACAGCTTTTC